TTGTAGGATGCTTAGGCCCCAATAACTTTCAAAGTACAAACAACTGCTTCCTTCAAAGAAAACCATAACTGATCAGCAGTATGAATTAACCTTCAACTTAACAGAACAACTTCATGAAATACTTCAAAAGGAAAACATGTATTATTCAATAGCTTTGGATGAATCAACTACTGACTAGGCACAGGTTTTATACTTCATTCAGGTCATAATAGAAGATTTTCTTTGCTACAAAGGGTTACTCGCTTTGGGCACTCTTGCAAACAGAATGTGCGGAATAGATATCTTCAACAAATTTCAAGATAAGTGTCTTGAAGTTGGACTGAATTTGGTAAATTTAGTGAGTGTATGTATAGACAGTGTACCTTCCATGACAGGAAAACATGAAGGGTTTATTGCACAGATAAAAAAAGTATTAACTGATCCAGATTCTCTCATTTCTTTTCATTGTATCTTGTATCAGAAAAATCTCTGTGCTAAAGCTACTATTTTAAGTGACACTTTGCAACAAGTTGTAAGTATTATTAACTATATTTATGCAAATGCAACACGGCATCATCAGTTTTGTAACATGTTAAAGTTGAATAGTGAAGTATTCAGTGTGGATTTACCCTATCATTCTAAAGAGGGTTGGCTATCACAGGGTCAGATGTTAGCCAAAATTTTATCTCTGTGAGAACATATAGTTAAATTTTATGAAGAACAGAATCAGCAATGTGACTATTGAAAGAATATTTCTATAGGAATGCAGCAGAATTTCTGTGTGATATCATGTTAAATCAAAATGACTTGAATATTTCTTTGCAAGGTAAAATTAAGTCTAAATATGATATGTGGCAAAAAATCCAAGCATTTTGAAAGAAAGGTATCTCTTTCCCAAAAACTTCTTCTTCAAAAGGAAATTTCCCGAGTTAGCAAAGGTCATTCATTATCAGGGTGATATAAGAATCCTTTGAAGAATATGCAGCTCGTATAGACCTATTAACTGTTATCAACTTAATACAAGGAAAAGTTTCCTGACTTTGAGAATCATGACAACACACTCAAATTAACATTTCGGCCTCACCTAGTTGGTATCACCAAGGCACCTAAAGCACTATAGATGGAACTGATTGAGTTCTCAGCAGATGACATTTTAAAGTCATTGTTTGATGCTAAGAAAGACGCAATTGAAATATTGAAAAACACAGTAAAATACCCACACCTTTGACAACATGCCCGAAAGATGCTTTCATGCTTTTCAACCACTTATTGCTGTGAATCTGTATTCTACTACCTAACGCAAATCAAGACACTCATAAGGTCACAAATGGCTGATACCCATCTAGAGGATCAACTGAAACTGCAGACCTACATGCTGCAACCAAATATTCAAATGCTTTCCAACAAAAAACCAGAAACAACAAAGTCATTAAAAAGTTAGTTAACTTTAAAATTAACAAATAGTTTTCATTTTTTAAAATTATTAAGTACATGGTAGTTAAAGTTTTACAAAATAATGTACATTTTTAAGTATACATAATTGAAGTTTCTTGAATGCAGCCTCGTTTGATTACAGCTAAATTAATGTGGCCTTCCAACATGAAAAGCTTCCCCACCCCTTCTCTAAATTTTCTGTAGATGTAACTATTCAAACAACATTAAATATATGTAATTGGGCTATAATTGATTCTATGAGATATTTTTGGTTCA